TCTGAGGGGATCAACAGGGTGGAGCAAGCAGCTATGGCTGCTCCCCAGTCCTACCCTAAGAGGCCCCGCGTCTCAGTGTCCCAGTAATCACTGCAAGCACCTCTGAGAGAAAGCCACCCTCAAGTTCCGACCGATGCCAGACAGTCCAGTTTCTCCCCGTATGAGTCTGGGTCCCCAGAGACTTGCGCAGAACTGGAGTTCAGAGCAGTTGGGGGCTTGTGACTCCCTCCGGATTCAAAAAGACAGCCGCGTCCTCAGTTGCCAGCCCTTGCCTCGTGCGCCTCCGTACCACTGCACTTTACTTCCACACCTCCTCTGAGTCTCAGTGTGCTTTTCTCTTTCCTTCTAGTTGTAGAGTTTCCACTCAGCCAGCCTTCCTGTGGTTCTGGATGATGTCCGTTTTGTCTTTTAGTTGTATTTTTGAAGTGATTGTGCGAGGCAGCAATTTCTGGTGTTTACCTTATGCAGCCATCTTGGTTTCTCTCCAGTATGGGTTTTTGTTTGTTTGTTGTTTGGTTGGTTTTTGGTCAGTATGTCTTAAAGCTCTTCATTTTGCTACTAAGAAACCACTGCTTTAAGAGTTCCCTCTAGAACAGTGGTTCTCAACCTTGGCTGCACATTAGAATCACCTGGGAATCTTTTTAAAATCCTGATTCTGGGCCTCATCCTCTGGAAATTCTGTTTCTTTGTTATGAGGTGGGGCCACAACATTAGTAACAAAGAAACAGAATTTCCGGAGGATGAGGCCCGGAAATCAGGATTTTAAAAAGATTCCCAGGTGATTCTAATATGCAGCCAAGGTTGAGAACCACTGCTCTAGAAGAAGGAGGAAAGAAATTAGACCTGTGGTGTAAGACCACCTGATCTGAATAGCTATGTATTTGAAAAATTCTGGAGGAATAAAGTCTAGAGTTTGAGATGGGCAGACAAATAGGGCATAGTAAGCTACTAGTATATTCAGAAAACAGACCACTATGGTAAAAATGTGGTGAGCATCCTAATTTTGGAAAGGTCAGTGATGAAGTCATTAACACAGGTCCCAGGAATATATAGGATTTGTTGTAAAAATGGGGAATTTGAGCCTCCTAAGCTGATCCTTTGATCTAGCACAGGCGAAACAGATAATGATGTCTTTATTGCACTGTCACATGGTGAATCTTGGGCTCTCAGCAGGCCTAAAGGCAGTGGAGGGGTGGAGTGAACTTTTACAGCCCACTCTGCTCCATTGGTTGGGGAGGAGCATCAAGGCATCACTGAAGTGTATGCATGTGGATGTTCTCCAGTGGGTCCGTGCCTGTGGGAAAGCACGCGCAGCAGGACATTGATGATGAAGCCCCTTCTCAGAGCCTATCAGCTTGATGTAGCTGCCCTAACTACCCAACTGGTGTTGTTGGTACTGACAGATGAGGAAGGTGAGGTTCAAGTCTGTTTTTGTAGCCTTTTAATGAATAGGGAATCATTTGGAATAAGAGGGATGGCATGGAATTTGAACTTGTAAGGACAAGGTACTTTCTAGGAGGACAACTCTGGTTTCTAGGAATATATGTGTTTCAGTAGTTGAAACCACCTACTACTTCAGTCATTGGATATCAAGACCCACATGGGGCAGTAACGGCCAGGAAATCTTCTGCCACATAGGGTAACCTTCCTTTACTTGGGCCCCTCTTCTTGAGAAGCACATTAGTTTGTTTATTAAGAGAATTGGTGAAAGGGCTAAACATTGTCTCCTCGGTAAGGAGGCAAGGGATTCAGAGACTGGGCAGGGGTCAGTAATTAGAAGTTATGAAGTGGGTGAATAGCAGATTATGCAGAAATGAGGAATGGAGTCAGGTAGAAGGATAGGAGACTCAGGATGAGGAGGGAAGCAATTGGAAGTTAGAAATAGAAAAATCCCAAGTGGTGACACTTTAGTTAAGCTGTTATAAAAGTATGTTAAAATAAGAGTGCTGCCCTGGCTGGTTTGGATCAGTGGATAGAGCGTCAGCCTGCGGACTAAAAGGTCCCAGGTTCGATTCTGGTCAAGGGCATGTACCTTGGTTGCGGGCA